ATGTATATATATATATATATACATGTGTGTGTGTGTGTGTGTGTCAGCATGGCTGCGAGTGCAGAGACAACTGAGCAGGAGTTCGAAATATAATGAAGAAATTCTAGCGTTTTAAAACACGTACAGAGAGAATAAATCCTCAAAATTTCCTCCTCCCGCTGTAGAAAAGTTACGTCATGTTGCGGGCTCATTTCCTCCCTCTGCACGTCACGCAGAGCGAAGCTTTTAACAACCATAGTTTTTCATACCCAATTGTCGGAGAAAAAAAAAGCTTTTTATGTATTGTTACCCACAGAGATTATTTAAAAAAAAAGACGTAGACGTTCGTTCAGTCATAAATCCATCTTGCTAATGTAAAGTCGGCTTCTGCTCTGATGATGAAAATGATGAAGATGAGAGCACAGCAGAGCAGCAGCTGATAAGTTCAGTGGGCAGAAGATCATTGTTTGACAGGCAGATATTAAAGCAAAAATGTTGGSTTTAATTAAGATTACAGTTTCCTGCAAAAAATGCTCTAAAAATTACATTTTCTTAACTTTTTTATGATAAATTTCTACCACGATATATACCGTTACCGTGAAGGGATTCAATTTATACCGTGATATGAATTTGAGATCATACCGCCCAGCCCTAATTAAGATGTTTGTAGTAATGTAATGTATGTTAAGTTTATGATTGTTTATTTATGTTAATATTCACTGGTTATTTTGTATATAACGTGTAACAGACTMTGTAAACATGTACAATTATCAAGCTCATAGTCTGAATTGCAGTTACACAGTAGAGCAAGCTAAACGGCTGTCAGTTGAAAATTCCTCAGCTGTGTGGTCAGTAACACAGCACAGCACAGCAAAGCCACTACTAAGAAAACCTGATTTCTGTTTTCACAGAATATTAAAAGACACTGTTACACTCAAACAGTGCATCTGCTGTCATGTAACAATATATATATACTGTATTATGCAAACATACGTAAGCTGAAGTGCAACGGCATACGATACCTTGAGTGCAGACTCCTTTGTGGTTGTAGTCAAGTTCAAGTTCAGTTTATTTATAWAGCGCCAAGTCACAACATACGTTGTTTCAGGGCACTGTACATAAAAAGAACAATCTAAAGAAGAAATCAGCAGGCCACGTTGAATAACTTCATCACAGTCTCCCATCCTGAGCAAACGGTGGAGAGGAAAAAGTCAGTTCTTTTTTTGAGACTTCAGCAACCTCATATTTAGCTTTGTGCAACGTGTTGTAGTGGTGACCTATATTAAAATCATTTATGGCAGACAGTGTGTCTAAGCAGACTAAACAGAAAGCTTTGAAGTACTTTGAAAAGATAGTCTACCTCTTTTTTTATTTATTTTTTGGTGTGTGTGTGTGTGTGTGTGMGGGGGGGGGGGCGCAGGCTGCCAATTTCCCATCCCTGATTTAAAGGCTTGACAAAAACAGTTATAACAGCATAAGAAAGCTTTAAAAGGTGAAGACGCATTTATTCTATTGATAATAATAAAATCTTCATTTAACTGCTTGRAAAATAACAGTAATGGGGATTTTTAGAGTCCGATGTTCTGTTTGTGACCAAAATTCCTTTGGTGTCATGCACTTGCTTTGCAGAACCAAAAGTAAGCTGGTCGAGGTGTGAAGGTGTAAAAATCGCACATTAACTTCAGATCGGTTGAAGATAATCCTGCTTTCACTGTGACCTCATCCCCCTCAGGGTTAATAGGCGTCACAAAGGCGAGGCTTTACGCGAGCGAGCGAGATCGCAGCTCGTACTTCTATTATCGTCCTGCCTCTTGAGACGGGGACGCACATCTGCTGCCACGGCGTGCGAGCCTTGCAGGAGGCTAAAAGTGTGAAAACGCTGTGAAGGTGCAGCGAAAGAACGTGTGCAGGTTGGAGAAACGCCACAGAGCGGAACAAGGTGCACCACGACTCACTAATTGTGTTTCAAATTGGGTCTCTGAGCGCACAATGGGGAGTGGGATTACTCTGAGCTCCCCACTGGAACATCTGAGGAAGGAAAAAAAAAAGTTGTCTAATTTGTAGGTCAGGGTGTTGGGGCTGTTGTGAGGCAGAGTTCCRGTGTCACGGGGCTAAATTTAATATTTGGTGTTAAGTTGTTTTTTTTTTCTGTTGATTCTGTTTCTTTTTTTCAGCTGCCATGCCATCATATAGAGGTTGTTAAAACGATCTCTGCTTTGAGTTTTGATGTGCTGCCCGTGTTGCGTTCAAGTCCTAATTGAATTCACATTATTAGAGGGAATTGCAGAGGTGCATCTTTGTTCCATCTGGAGCTTATCCGAGCCTGACCTGGTTTTGATGTTCCACGTTAGCGTGTTGCTCCTCTGGGACCCGTCCTCTCCTCAGCCTGACGAGGGGAACAAGAGGAAGAAGAAGAAGAAGAKGGCCGTACCTCACCTGTTCTCACCCAGCACCACACATCCTGGCATCCTGGCACAGACGCTAATATCACCTCCAAAATAAAAAAATAAAAATAAATAAAGATGCATGTGTTACAGTTTCATATTGTAGGTCACTTGGATTTTCCTCCTTCTCCATTTTGGGAAGTGCTTCCAGGGATATTTTGTCCTACAAAAAATAATTATGTTATCTCCCTAATCCCCAATTATTATGCACAGGCATATTTAAGAAAAAAAAAAAGAAGTATGATTTTTCTTTCTTTCTTCTTTTTGGTGGCAGCAGAAGCAGAGAGAGGAGAATCTGACAGTCCGTTTCCTCCTCTGCAGCGAGGGGGTCCTACACTTGGATGAACTGTGGGAGGAGAGAGCACAGGCAGGCTGTCATGTAAGCTGTCTCCTCTGGGGCCCGCGCTCGCCTCGCGCTGCTTCCTGCCTCAGGTGGAAGCCTCAGAGTTTGTGCTGCTGAGGCGACAGGGCTGCGTTCTCTCCTCTCTCTTCTCCCTGCAGCCGAGCGGGCGAACACATCCTCTCTCAAAGCGCCAGAATGGAGAAGGTAAGGTACCATTTTTTGTTGCCCGTCGTTTCATTTCTTCGTTTGAACTTGATTTCTCTTTCTGACGCAGCAGAAGCTGGTTTTGGTTCCTGCYGCACTTTCTGACTTTGCACTAACATTTCTGTGTAAAGCTGTGTAGCTGATGGTGTTTGTTTTGCTTTCTTTTCACTTTATGAGTTGTGTTTGATTTTAGAAATATCCCTGTTATTGCCTTTATACAGGACTTTTAGCTGGATTTGAATGATATTTACTCTTCAACAGGCAAAYGTTTTCAACTGTGAGTGATAAATATCTCCACAGAGACTGAACTGTAACTTAAAAAGCTGAATTTTGTTTCAGTTTGCTGCATCTTTTCTCATATCTTTTATCTTCTGGTTTTTGGTTAACCTTTGACAATAAAATAAAACAACTTCAGCGATTAAAGGAATGAAGTGTTTTTCATGATGACAGAAATGTCTAATTTTTTATGTCAGTAATTCAGTAATTACACCAGAGGTTCCCATTGTGGGGTGGGGTATTTCAGGGGGGCCTCGGCATCAAATGAAAAAATAATGAATTCTTGAATCACTGCTGGTGTAATAGACAGGTTTTTGATGGGGCTCCCACCAAACATGACGTGATGATTAAAGGTGTCATTTTTGCTTCCAGTCTGGAAGTTGTCATTGTTTTTAAAAGGTAAAAAAAATAAGGTAAGGTAAAAAAAAATCTACATACGTATTTATTCAAGTATAATAATAGCATAATACTATTACATTTCACTATTCTCTTCTTTTCATTTCACTAT